TTCTCTTTAAAATGAAAAAAATTTATATATATATATATATACAAATATAGCTAGGATAGGTATATAACTGATGTCTGTGGTTTATTGGAAAGGAACAGTTAATACTTAAAATTTTCTTTTTGTTGATCAATTTTGCACGCTTGCATCTGGTAATCAGAATGACTGATCTGAAGACAACAATATGCAATATAAGAACCACTGCTGAATTCCCACCATCTTGTATGGTGAAGCTCTGCATCATTACCAATTTTTTTTTTATTATTACTTGTTTCTGTCTTTGATTGTTTGATCAATCTTACATTCTTACATCTGGTGGACTGAGCAACTTCATTGAAGATAACAGTATGTAATATAGCAACCATTGTTAATTCCTATCATTTTGTTTTGAGGTCATGTATCATTATTGTTTTTGTGTTGCTTTTTGTCTTTATTATTGTTATTTTGTTAGCTTTTTTCTCTTTAATATAAAAATAAATAAAATAGGGGCACTTGAAAAGTGCCATTAACATCTTTGTTGAATGTACAACACATACGGAAAAGTACACTGACTAGGAGTATAGCTCACTGGCACAGGCATCTTCAGCCCACACAAGGCCCTGGACTTAATCCCTAACATGCACACAATGCACACACACAGAACATACAACATAAGCACATAGATCAGTAAAGAAACAAAGTGATCATGTAAGAATTATAACATTAGCAAAAACTCAAGAGTCCCAGTTTTGCCTCTATCTAATCCTTCCCCTGCCTTCATCCAAAAGGCGTGAAATTGAATTTCAGTGGTATTCAAAACAGAAAAGAAAAGTGTCCCCCTTCTACATATAAGAGTAGAGCACAGGGTGACCATCCCATACCCTACGAAAGAAATGAAGTTTGAACACCGTAATTTTACATTTAATTATATACTACTGTACTTTGTTATAGAAAGACAGTCAACACAACAGACAATAAGCACAAGAGTGGGAGTAGTTTCCTTTTATACTCCCTGCAACTAATATGGAAGGTTAAAAAATATTTATTAATACCACTTAATATAAAATTCTTCTACAGGTATAAAACTAAGCACATACTTTGTTAAGCTCTGTCAGGAAAGGAAAGAACTAGGTATTTTCTTCTTAGTGTCTCATTTAGATGAAAGCACTTTTGAGTGTCATAAGTTCAAAGGCAAAAGAAATTTTCTAAAAACACCAGCTGGTAAGTTTAGTGGAACATCTGAGAAACTTTGACTTATATCTTGAAATCCAGAATGCTTAACAAAAATCCATTGGTTTTTACCACCTTAGAGAGGATATTGACTACCAGAGGAGCAGCACCACATCTTCCATTATTTAACAGAATATCTCAAGGTAAGCTGAAGCTTCCAACTTCCTTCCAGGGACTCCATGAACTATTTTAAAACTTGGGCTAAAATTCCCACCACTTTGGCATTGAGAAGGCAAAGCCAGATTTGTGTTAATCATACAAGGACTCCAAAGTCTAAGCTATCTTATAGAACAAGTTATTATTGCTTCAGTATCCACACAGTACACTCCAACATTTAAAAACCTTCTGCAAATCATAAAAATTAATGTGTACAAGAACAGAAATACTTTTATGCTCAAATTAAATTATTTAATATTGTCAGTACTTTATAAAAATATTTATAAAGTAGCAAATATTTGAGGACTAAGTCAATGTATTAGGCACTGTGGTTACAAAAAGGGATTAAAAAATAGCACCAGGATAGGGGTGTTAGCTCAGTGATAGAATGCTTATCTAGCATACAGGAGGCCCTGTGGTCAAACCCCAGCATATCACACACGCACACACACACACACACACACACACGCAAGTAATAGTAATAATAAATAATACTTATCCTCAATATACTGTCATTTTAAAGTCAGAGATGAATAGGGAACAATTTGTTTGTTCTGGGTATGATCACTACTAAGATACAGCACACTGTATTCTGAGAACAGAGAAGATGTGTACCAACATGGATTGGAAGGCAATTAGGAAATGTTTCTCAATAGTGTGTCTACGGGATCACAGTTGAATCCTGAAAGACAAACAAGAGCTGGGCATATTGGCGCATGCCTGTAATCTCAGCAGTTGGGAGGCTAAGGCAAGAGGATCACCACAAGTTTGAGGCCAGCCTGGGCTACATAGTGAGTTCAAGGCCACCCCTGAACTACACAGTGAGGCCCTGTCTCATAAAAAAAAAAAAAAAAAGACAAACAACAGTTAGCTAGGCAACGAAGGAAAAGAAGTAAATAGAAAGGCACAAAAGTATACAAGAGAAGATGCTATGTCTAAGTCACTACATGTAGGTCAGTACAGCTTGAGCACAGAGGTAAGGAGAAAAGATTGAAACTGAAATGAAAAGAAAAAACTACCAAAGGCCCAGTAAACAGGAGTCCCAGCACTTCATGCTAAGAAACTTGGGCTTCAAGTTCTAGGAAAGCAAGAGGCATTGGAGGATTTAGAATAAAGGAGTGAAATGAATTAGAGACACATAAATGTAGGTGGAGAGACCAAGGAAGAAGCTGTCGTTGAGATCATTAACTGTAGTCCAGAAGCATAATGGCTAAGGGTACACGCTTTGAAGTCAGATAATTTTAAGTTCCAGTCCTGCCTGAACCTCTCTAACAATTAACATCTATGTAACCTTCCACAAAGCAATCTTTGAGTCTCAATTTTTTCCTAAAAAAATTCCTAAAATTGGGACAAAATTACCCTTCTTCAGAGTTATTTTGGATTAAATTATCTGATATATAAAAAATATACTCAGTGTTCAGTAAGTGAGACTGATATTGATAACTCCAAGGGCCTGGTAGGGAAAGTCTAAGAGAAGATATTTCAGAGCTAAAACAGTCAGGGTTTGTGACTACATAAATGGGACAGAGGGGCAGTGGACTGGCGGTGAGGACTGGTGAAGTATAATAGTAAAAGATAATTCCTAATTTGCTGACTTGGGCAACTGGATAGATATGGTATTATTCACTGAGAAAAGATAGAAAAGGAAACAAATTTTATGAAAAAGAAAAAAATAGGAAAAAACTAGATAGAAAAGAAATGTACATTAGCAGCACAATGAAAACACTATGGCATATTTACAGGGATATACATTTAAGGTATTTTTTGAAATCCAAGTGGCATTATTTCAATTGATGGCTGGATGGCACTCAAAAAAGATACCTAGATGAGAGACATCAATGTAAGTGCCTTCCCTATACAACCCAAAACCACAGATTTTTAAAAAATCACCTAGGAGACAATACAGTAGAGTAAAAACAAAGAAACTAAAGATATTCCCTAGGGCAACACTTCCATTTAAGGGATAGAAAGAAGTAAGGGTGACTAAAGTAGTAGTAGAAAAACAAGAGACATTATTATCTCAGAATCTAAATGAAGAGAAAGTTTCATCAATGCTGTAAAAGGACAAGTAAGAGAAGGATGGAAAACTGTCAGTTTCATCCTGGCAAGACCAGTTGGAGCAGAGCGATATGGGTAGGAATCAGAATACAATGAGCCACACAAGTGTTACCAAAGACAGACCAAACACAGGAAGAAATGGCACTGAGGAGGTTTAGGAGACAGTTTTTTACACCAGTGGGCTTCTGAGTAGGATCTCCCCCAAAGAGTCAGAGCCTCACCCAGTAAGGTTTCCAGGCTTTTAAAGGGAAAGTGAACAGGGAGGTACACAGGCAGATTTGGTGCATTTGATTGGAAGGTTGGGTTGCTGAAGGAGTTTGAACACCTCAAGTTACATTGCAAAGCTATCAGTTATGAAAAGCCTGGGTTATAACAAAGGAAGAAATGTCCTGTTACATTTTAAGTTA